GATGTCTGTAATATTTGAACATAATTTGTTAAACTTTTTGAGTTTATTTTTTGCCTTTTCACTTCTTTTCCCATTTCCCAGTCTGTTAAATATGCAAAAACTAATTTCAAATTCTATGTTTTTAGATTCGAGAAGATGTCCCAGAGAAAATCACAAAGGTTCAGACTCTTGGATTTCTTGGGCCTGACAAGATTGTTCAGCTGGCCCTAGCCCTGGAGAGTGGCAGGTAACTCTCTCTAAAATTAATTAAGAAATCAAGTTGAACTGCATTAGATTTTTGTTTATATGTGGTGTATGGTCTCTTTACAGGTCATGTATTTTTCAGTTTTAAAAAATATTTAATTTCATTTATTATCTGTCACTGTCTGCCTTCCTTGTTTATAAGCTACATGATTACTTTTCTTCTACAAAGGAAGAATATGCGTATCTTTCTTTATCATTAAAGAAAATATATTACTTTTATAATTTTTCCTGCCTTTTAAATTTCTTTTTCACATATATAATGTGTTACTGCAGGTCTGTTGCTCGTGATGTTGGAGGTTCTGACCCAGAGCGTATGGCTCCCCCACGTGTAGAAGAGTATGTGCGGAAAGTATTTGAGGGTACAAAAGTGAAAGTTGATGTAGTCTCTGATGATGCTAAACTTGTCAAGGAGTATCCTCTGTTTTCTGCTGTCAACAGGTGTGCCAAAGGTCTGAAACAATGTTTTTTATTTTTTTTTTTAGTGTTGTAATTTTTATTGACAACTGTTTTTGTGTGTTGCTGTTTGAGGTAGATAGTAAATTTTCTAGAAACCTGAGAGGGCATTTCCCCTTGCTGCATATTTTTAGTACCAGTAATATTGGTAATAAGGTAATAAACAACAGAAGTAACACAAAAAGGATTAGTAGTAGTCAATAACAATGAATATACAATACACATAAAGGGAGCAGCTTTTAACACATGCTTGCCCTCATTGCAGGTGTGCCACGTCACCAGGGTCGCATAATCTACCTGACTTACGAAGGTGCTGGACCAATTGAACAGACCCTAATGTTGGTGGGCAAGGGTGTGACTTATGACACTGGTGGAGCCGACATCAAGGCTGGTGGTGTAATGGCTGGCATGCACAGAGATAAGTGTGGGTCAGCAGCTGTGGCTGGTTTCATGCAGATTCTTGCTAAACTGCAGCCTTCCAATATTAAGGTGATTGCCATTATATATTTTTTCTGTGGGTGCACCAGTGGTTTTATCTTTTATGAGGATGATATTGAAATAATTCTGACTAATTATGCAAGTGTCAAGCTTCACTTTACCAGTGGAATTACTTCTATAGTGCTATAACTTTTTTTACTTAAGTATATGAACATAATTTAATAACTCACTTCCAGGTTATTGGCTCTATGGCGATGGTGCGCAACAGTGTGGGATCAGAATGCTATGTTGCTGATGAAATTATTACTTCTCGTGCTGGGGTGAGAGTTCGAGTTGGAAACACAGATGCAGAAGGACGTATGGCCATGGCAGATGTCTTATGCCATATGAAGGAAATGGCAGTCAATGAGGTATGGAAATATCTAGTTCAGACAAATTACATGAGCATTAAATACACTGATTGAAATGTAAAAATATATTGTATTTTTACAAGAGAAATTTCCTCTCTTTATTACAGGTAAATCCCTATCTCATGACGATTGCAACACTGACGGGTCACTGTGTCCTTGCATATGGTGAAGCATATACAGCCATAATTGATAATGGCTCAGCAAGACTGGCTGGTATGTCTCAGAAGTTGCAGGTTTCTGGGGAAGAGGTTGCTGACCCATTTGAGGTAACTACCAGTGGTCTGTTTTCTTAGTGATGCTTGTGAAACCATATCTTTGGTCACAAAATAATGACAGAAAAGGAGACTAAAATTAATATCCACAATTTGTGACATTTGTCCATAGCCTTGATAGTTGAACATGAAACTGAAATTAAATACAGTATATTGTAATTATTACATTATTTCTCACCAAATTTAATGAACCATCCATTCAGATTTCTTCTATGAGGAGAGAAGACTTTGATTTCCATTGTGGCAAGAGTGAATACGAGGACGTCTTACAGTGTAACAATGCCCCTTCTTCACGCACTCCCCGTGGCCACCAGACTCCCTCAGCCTTCCTTGTTATGTCTTCAGGATTGGATAAGGTTTGTTTTCCTATGCAGGCATTTTACTTTTTAAAAATTCTACTTCAAATTAGTTACCAAGATGTCAGTGAAGAATTATACATTTTATCATGGCATATTTACTGAAGGTGCACAAGGCTACTGATGTTACACAAGATTAAAGTAGTTAGTATTACTCAGTTATGGCTAAGAAAAAAATTCAGCCTGTGGACATGGCTTATAGTTTTTCTGTGATTGGAACATTTTGACATTGTTTATTATAATTGAGTGGGAGAGCTATTCTGTGTTTCATGTTGGCAAACACAGATTTCTTTTTCTCTCTTGTCATAGACTAATTAAATTATTTACACTTTCAGCATGGGAAGGAAAGCAACAAGCCCCTCAAATACTCGCACCTGGATATTGCAGGCTCGTCAGGACCTTTCCCCGGGATTCCAACTGGGGCCCCCATTCTTGCTATGGCTTATGCTTTTATTCCTAGTGCCTTTTAATTTTTCAGGTACTTAGGCATAGGAGTTAACGTATTGAAATATCACTGGATAAACTCCCTCTTATTCATTATTGAAAGACTAAGCAGTGACTTAAAATTGGTGAGACCATGCAGCTCAATTTGATGATGTAATAGATATTTGAAAGATGATGGAAAATGTGAGAATGGGAGTATAATAAATTTTTGATAAATAATTTGTCCTTAAGAGTAAATATTGCTGTGATATCTTGGACCTCTACCCCAGAAAATGTGACTTGAATGCTTTATGTAAACTATCAATGCCAGTACTTTGATCCCAGAGAAATGTTATAGCTTAATATGTAGCACCTCAGAGTTGTAATTTAATTTAATTTTATATGGATTTCTAACAGTTTAAATTAAATGATGCATAATTAAAGATATTTTTAGAATGCTCCTTCTGTAACTTGATATTTATATTAGGGAAAAAATGCTAACTTTGTCCATGGTATGCCTGATCACTGTCTTGTAAAAGACTGATGAATCTAAATAAATATTTGTTTCATACATGATTTTTTTTTTATCATGAAGAGAATAATTAATGGTTACAAAGCAAAATATATTTGCTAGACATCAAAGGTCACATAGCACAATAGAAAGGTGTAATAGTGAATACAGGGGAGGGGGTAGTTGATGTTAAATGTGCTATACATCTGAAATTGTGTAGTGTTTCAGTAATGTAGGGATTATAAGGGTGATTACATCAAAGTTGTCAATGGAAGTCGTGTAGGATTTTGCTGGAATAGGAGAATGTTATGAGTTAAGGGCTAAGGGGGGGAGAAAAAAAAAAAAAAAAAAATGGCTGGGCTAAACCGAGTATTCAAGAGATTTGCAGAGGTGACGATAGAAGAAAGATGGGGACATGTGGAAAAGGTAGTAGTCTTCATAGAGGTAGTGCTGCAGAGTAGTAATATGGGAGGATGGGGAAGTAGATGAAGAATGTTGGGGTGAAGATGAAGTAGAGGATGTTGGGAAAGGAAGAAAGTTCCCTGGAAATTGAGTATTAACCTGGATGGATGATTTGGACTGGCCTAATGTGCTAGTAGGCATTGAAGAGGGGCTAGTAGTAGCAGTGTTCAGAGTCGTCAAAGAAGAAGAGCCTGGGGTTGAGAAACCGGGAGATTTGAAATCATTGGGGCTATTTGATAAAGGGGCAAACCTTAATGCCCCTAATAATGGTACAAAGGCACAAAGTCAGCCTTTCATCCTTTCAATATAGTTTTCACACCTTAGGAAGTGGACAGCAGAAGGGGTTGAAGAGAATGGTTAATGGTTAAAACAATCAAATGTGCTAGACATCAATGGTTATAAATCACTATGGTAAAGTACTGTGGTAAAAATGAATTAACAATTAGAATAAACTGTGTTAAATGTCAAAAGTTATAACACTATAGGATAGTATAGTAGGGAAAAGGATAAAGAGGGGGTGCAAATGAAATAAATTGGAGATCAGTAAAGAAAAGGGTTAAGGCGTATGGTGATATGATGAAATAAGAGTGTATTTGTGGCTGGGAAAGCTACAGGAACATTGTTTAAGGAAAACTGGCAAAAGAACTATTGTGAAATAATCAATGAGTAATATGGGTAGAGATGACTTTTGGAGAGGTAGCAAGAGAAGAAATCGGGGGATGTGATAAGGGGACTGATGAAGTATCAGTAAGTGTCATGAGAGGAGGGATCCGGAGAAGGACACTTGCAACAGAAGGGATCCACATGAATATCCAGGTGGGAGGGGTAAGGATAATGGGGAATGAAGAGGGAATGGTGCAGATGGAGGAGAGGATGGGGTGTTGGGAAAGAGTGGGAGGAAAAGGGGTTGGGATAACTTGAAGAGGAGGGTGATAGATATCGGCAAATACTTTGAATGTAAAGGGAATAGAAATAGAGGGATTGGAGGGTGGTTGAGGGAGCAAAACATTCCCTCAGGTCATCTCCAGGAACTTTTGGATGTGTTCGAGTTTCTGGAGGGGAGTTGAGTGGGGAGGTTTGAGATACAAAGGTTCTCTTGTGAGAAGAGGGGATAGATGTTTAGGGAGCAGAGGGAAAGGAGTGTGTAGGTGAGGATATGATAAGTGAAGATGGAGTGGAATGTATATCTTGTCTGATGCAACAGGTAAAGTGAGAAGGTAGGCATCGGAGAAGTGGTAAAGATTAGAGTAACTGGATTTAGACTGGAAAGGGACTTCAACTGGGGGAGAGGGGGAGTAGAGGTAGGACGGTTCAGGGTAGAGGGAAGAGATACTGGGGAAGATGCAGAGTCATTTTGAGAATATGGGAGGGGGGTGAGCAGAGTGAAGGACTGTTTTGGAACAGGTAGAGATAGAAAAACCTCATCATTGTGCTTCCTGTCTGGCCTTACAAAGAATGAGGCTTAATTTGAATCTGAGAACAGCTGCCTCAAATTTAGATAGGTTATTTGATGAAGGTGAATCCTTAACCCATAAGTGACCGGTGTCCCATATATGAGACCCGAAAAAATAAACATTGCCAGGCGTCCAGCCAGTGTGATGCTGTATCGGGGCTCGCGCTCCGACGCACAGCTACGGGCCATGGCCGGTGGGCGGACAGACTTCGGGGAAGCTCTGCCCGCCGATTTTGTAGCCGCCCGGAATATTTTATTTTCGGCTTCAAAATATACCGGCATGAATGGGTTAATGTGCCTAATAAGGGTTAAACATCATTATTGGCCATGAAATAAGTGGGGAAAAATACTGGTCTGTCCCTTAGTGTCCCCATAAGGGGTAAGGGCTAGGCAATTAACCAAGGGAATACTGTGCCTATGGCTCCTGGAGGCTGTTCATGACTGACACAAAACTAGCTTTTCATCCTTTCAACACGGCTCTCACACCTTAGAAGATGGACAGAAGGGGATGAGGAAGAGAAGGAAAAGTAAAATTAGTTGAGGTGACTACACCAACAAGCGATGAACTGGGGGGATGAAGAGAAGGAAACGAAAGGGGGAAGAGAAAAATACCTTGCAAAATTAGATGAGTCAAGGGTTGAGGTCCACGGCAAGGATGATCCCCGGCATTAGGTCCCAGTGTCCATCCCCTATGCCCCCCACAGCAACAATGGGCATAGGATTGCACATTAAAGTGTATTAAACCACAAGAATGTCAGAGTTTCCATTTATTGGAATTAACCTCTCATAAATACCCACTTTAGCACCTTGATGTCCTTTGGAGTCTGGGTGTTGAGATCATGAGATACATAGTGTCAAACTAAGTTTATGAGTACAATAATAAATAAGAATTACATGACTTCCTCAACGTACCTTAAAGTAATTATTTTAATTACATGATGTATAAGTTGTTTGTTGCAGTGAGGTTTGATCTTTTTTTCCTTTTCTTTCTGACCCACCAATTATTTGGTATTAAATGTATACTTACCTTGGTATCTTAATTTTGTGGTACAGAGGTTTTGCAAAATTAAAAGTACTGATGATTTTAAAACTTACAAATTTCAAAATTTGGTAGACTACCCTAGACATTTTTCCACGTTAAAAACAAAATAGACCTATTCAAACTTGATATGGAAGAGCAATACATGCAACAATCAGTAAAACTGCCCAAACATTGCTAAAAATGTCTACACAGTCATTATTTCATTCTAATGGACATTCACTATCCCTAGAATTTCAAAAAAAAAATCTAGAGGTCAGTGTACACCAACATTTACATTAACACAAAATTATTACTCTATAAAGTTTTTCTTTCAACAGAAAAATACCTAATATGAATGCAGAAAAGGTATGAATGAAAATGGATCTCTTCACAGTGCAAAAAATGTATTTGACAGGTTTTGGTGTATCTTTTGTTAGAAATGCATATATTCCTAACAAAAACATTTAATCAAAGTCAGTCAAGTACATATCTTGCACTGTGAAGATATTCTCATCCTTACTTTTTCTACATTAGCTGCAATGAACACTTCCCCAATATTAAGAAATTATATATGATATTCTTCTATACATTATAAGGTAAACCTACTTAATGTAGTCCAAACATACTTTGTGATGCATCAAAACTTACATAAACTGAAGTAACTATGACTTCAAAAGTATAAGCCAACTTCAGTTATATACAAAAAGACTAAAGCAGTAAAGAATGATCTATCCATAATTCCCTGTCTTGTATGATCTATTTTGCGTGAATTACATGACACACGGATGTATTGCAACACAGCTTTCCTATCTATTATTACTTCTTGTAATTCCGTGCTCCAAAGATTGTGCTGCCCACTCGAACATTGGTGCTTCCTATTAGGATCTGTGAAAAATTAAGCAAATTATTATATGATTATTATCTGCAAAGCTGAAACAAATTATCATATAATTATCAGGAAAGATGAAGCAAATTATCATATACTTATCAGGAAAGATGAAGCAAAAAATAATACAATAATTATTGCCATAAAGCTGGAATGTACTTTTTTGTTTATAGTTATAAAACATATATATAACTTTATTAATCATTTAGGTCTTCAATACAGGTGCATTTGTGGGGAAGGGGGGGGAGGGCAAAATATGCCACCGCTTCCTAAGATTTTCAAAATGGCCTCTAAAGCTTTATGTAATACATTTTTCAATTTTGTCAGAAACTTTGTGAAGTTTAATTATATCACATACTCTGGCTGAAAATATTTTGATGTACAAAGTAGTAGCTATGCCTAATTTGGATCTAAACAATTAACGGATAAGACTAATTAACCAGTGACATTATGTCCTTAATATTGACATGTATAGGTGCATAAACAAACAATGTCTTTATCTGAATTTCTTGTGAAATGATGATAAACATGTCTTGACACTAATCTCCAAAGAAAATGGATGCCTGTGTATGACTGTTTACAGAAAACCTACTGGTTTAGGACTGCATTAGAGGACATTTGCAGATTAAAATTGTAAATCTAATTAATAACATTTCTATCTTAATTAGCAGACCATCTAATGTCTATGCTAACTGGAAAGTTTTGGGCTAACAATTAAAAAAGTAAATGGATACCTAACAATAAATTATACATATCCTTTAGATTATTCTTAAATAACAAAGTATGCAAACCCCCAGGTTTCTAATGATTCCTAAAGAAACATGTGGTTACATGAGATGCTAAAACATTCATTCCCATAATTCAGATTCAAATTTGATTTCAAAAATCTCTGTAAAGAGCAACAAGTTTTTAGAGACAAGAATGTCTTCTTACAAGAAAAAAAAGTAAAGAAATCTATGAATCTACAAAATGGGAATCAAGAAAATGAAGCAACAATATGGAGGAGTCAGGAGATGTAAATATGACTTCCCTAATCATGCAACAACAGCGCTGAAGGGGAAAGGAATGATTGGTGACTGAGGAGTCACCTGCGTAGATTTTTCACCTTTTTTTTTTTTTCCTAATTCTTGCATTGGATGTACACTTAGCATGGGAGGGAGAAAGAAAGAAAAGAAAAGAAAGAAAGAAAAGAAAGAAAGAAAGAAAGAAAAGAAAGAAAGAAAGAAAGAAAGAAAGAAAGAAAGAAAGAAAGAAAGAAAGAAAGAAAGAAGAAAGAAAGAAGAAAGATAGAAGAAAGATAGAAAGAAAGAAAGAAAGAAAGAAAGAAAGAAAGAAAGAAAGAAGAGAAAAAAAAAAAATGAATTTGATCTTACTATAACTGTCTTGTGAAACATTTACAGGATATCAAATTCTTAAAGAAAAGAAAACAAAAGAATAGAAAAGTTTCTGAAGTAAATTGAGTTAAATAATTTGCTGTTTGTTCATTTTAGCGTGAGGATGAAGATTTTCAGCCCCTTTGAAGAATAATTGTCACTCACAGCCTTGGTCTTTCTCTTCATGCTACATATATACACACACATGGATACATACATATAAACATATACATGTATTTAGGTAAGTAAGTTTGTCTCGGTCCAAGTATGTATGCAAAAATACATATATGGATAACACACACATATGAAAGATTTTGAAATACAATGAAAACTGAAAATGAATTAATGTGATTCCTATATAAAATCATGAAAATCTATCAACCACTGTTCTCTCTCTTTGTCTCTCTCACACACACACACACACACACACACACACACAACACACACACACACACACACACACACACACACACACACACACACACACACACACACACACAACACACACACACAACATAATATATATAATATATATATATATATATATTATATATATATATATATATATATATATATATATAAAAGCAGAATAATAGTAGACACAGTAACAATAACCTTGTATCATATCATTAAGATACTTACAGGTACACTTCTAAGAAACACATTCAAGTACCTTTAATAAGCATAATTTGAATACTTACAGCATGCTCAAAGTCATTTGACATCCCCATAGACAATTCTACATCCTGTGGTTCTATACACTGGGTCTCACAAACTGCAGCTCTGGTTTTCAACAAAGTCTGAAAATTAAGTGACAATATTAGGGACTCCTCATGGAAGCAATGTGATGAATTTTATGTCTTCAAAACAATGCAAAATCAAAACCCAAGTGGGAATGTTAGTAGCCATCTTAAATATGGTTTAGTGAAGAATCATCACAGAACTGAGGAAAACTATTATGCTCTTCCTCAAGTCTATTTTCACTTTGATAATTATCAAGCTGTAATTGATTTTACATGACACAGTATACACTTTACCTAAAAGAATGTCACCTTCAATACCTATAGTAGGAAACTTTTGAAAGTCTGGCTATTTGAATCACCGTATCTCATAACCTTTTGGTTTTAAACTCGCTATCATGTCCACTTGCCAAATTTTTTACCTGGTGTTACTGAGTTCATGCTATTACTATTGAAGCAGTTACCATCTTTGATATTATGATTATCTTAATGTTATTAACAATTCAAACAGTAATAGAAAATAAAAAAAAATATTTCCAAGAATCAAAGAAAAGGGTAAACATGTGAGGCAGGTAAGACTAGTAACTGACTCCTTGATTGTTAAGCCGTCTATGTGTAAACACAATCAATAAACTAAACCCACAGTGGGCAGGGCATGTACAGTTGTGGATATTTCCAACAGATTCACCCCTATGGTGTGTGGAATGAATTTTTTCTGGCAATACATGTGTAGTATCCAGTATTTTGAGAATGGATTGCTCTTGTTTGTATGGAAGTCTGTGATTGGCACCTGATATTTTGCAAATATATTAATTGGCAACTAATATCTGCCATTAGAATTATATTAAAGAATTTGGAAACATTACAAATAACAATATTATTGCTTGAAAAATGTGTTTTCCTTAAAAAAAAAAGAGAAAAAAAGAAATGGTATAACTGGAAACTTTAGCACAATCACAATAGCCAAACATCTATGACAACATTAAACCTCATATTACCTTTAAATAAAAAAAATGTGCACAAAAAAATGTAAAAGATTTCATTAACTTTTCAAATGTAAAACAAATTTAAGAAGGTGAAATACAAATCACATGATATATTATCTGTAAAAGTAAATCGTAAGGTTTTCTCACGTGATTCAGTCTTTGCGTGGCTTCATTTTGGAATTTATGAATGGCAAATTACCCAATTGCTCTATGTCTACCTATCTGTCTCTCTCTCTCTCTTTCTTTTAGTGGAAGGTATATATAGAGAAGGAACGTCCTAAACAACCAAGTAAGTGTCAGTAAAGATTGCTATACTAGCAACTATAGCTCAAGAGACTGGTTTACTATTTAAGAAGAAGGGGAGAATATTATGGCTATCCCAACTCCTTGAAACTCTGGATCTGGGAGAAGCAAGATGTTTTTCTTTTTTTTCCCTTGCGGAATATGTAAGAAAGGTTATGCCTAACAAATTCAACATATATATCTGTGTTTCGCTTGAAATATCTATTTTGACTGTTAGAATTTTTTCAATTATAAAAATACAAGAAACTAAGTAGTGGCAGCCTTGCAGTGCCAACCTGAGGTCTGAAAGGCAGAGGAAGACTCAAAATGAACAGTAAAATCAGCAAGGAAATTGCACTCTAACAACAAGATGATATATATGTATATGTATATTTATATAGATGTGTATACAGATATATAAAGATATAATCATATACATTTGCATATAAAATATAATAAAATATGAAATACACATACACACACACACATATACATATCTCTCTCTCTCTCATATGCGCACACACACACACACACACACACAAACACACACACACACACACATATACATATCTCTCTCTCTCACATGCGTGCACACACACACACACACACACACACACACACACACACACACACACACACACACACACATATATATATATACATATCTCTCTCTCTCTCACATGTGTGCACACACACACACACACACACACACATATATACATATCTCTCTCTCTCTCACATGCGTGCACACACACACACACACACACACACACACCACACACACACACACACACACAACACACACACACACACCACACACACCACAACACACACACAAACACACATATATACATATCTCTCTCTCTCTCACATGTGTGCACACACACACACACACACACATATACATATCTCTCTCTCTCTCTCTCACATGCGTGCACACACACACACACACACACACACACACACACACACACACACACACACACACACACACACACACACAAACACACACACACACACATATACATATCTCTCTCTCTCTCACATGCGTGCACACACACACACACACACACACACACACACACACACCACACACACACACACACACACACACACACCACACACAACACACACACACACACACACACACACACACACACACACACACACATATATACATATCTCTCTCTCTCTCACATGCGTGCACCACACACAACACACACACACACACACACACACACACACACACACACACACACACACACACACACACACACACACACACACACACACACAAATATATCTGTGTGTGTGTGTGTGTGTGTGTGTGTGTGTGTGTGTGTGGTGTGTGTGTGTGTGTGTGTGTGTGTGTGTGTGTGTGTGTTGTGTGTTGTGGTGTGTGTTGTGAGAGAGAGAGAGAGAGAGAGAGAGAGAGAGAGAGAGAGAGAGAGAGAGAGAGAGAGAGAGAGAGAGAGAGAGAGAGAGAGAGAGAGAGAGGAGAGAGAGAGAGAGAGAAACTTCAAGTCTGGTGAATGAGAAACATAGCCTGTGCCTTTCACAAGTTCTACTGTTGACTTTTATAATCTAAACATAATATTGTTATTTACACATCATGAATAGTTTTACTTACTGAAAATATAAACACATTTACTATTTCATTCATTACACTATAGGTGGCAAGCATTGCTTAGGTGCAGTTGTCAAATCTATGAACTATTGTTGTTTTTTTAAGAGACATCTTTGGCACATAGAAGTCAGTCTTTGTTCTTAAGTTTTGTAATTCAAATGGTTATGACATTCTGATATAATTTCCTCAGTCGGATTTCCTTCCTATTGTAGATATTTCCAAACTTTTTTCAACCAATCACATTGTTACAGACCTACATCTCTCCCTCACGGAATACTACATACTACACATGTAGAGCCAGATAAAAATTGTCACCTCCAGACTCGTGGTATACCAGTTGGCAATGTCTGGAACTGTATGTACATGCTATCCCCACCGGCAATGGGTTAACATCGAAAATTAAAATATCTTAAACACAAGTTGGGGTAAATCAAACACTATATATAACACAAAAAGGCCAATACCTTATGGTGATAAAAATTCTTTCTCCTACCATTCTCCTACCTGGAAATCTGGATTTGGCCCCTGAGAGAGATCATGGTCAAAAGCCCCAATGGTCATGAGTCCAAGGAGGGTCAGATGAGGACAATTCTTGGTGACGTGGCCCACCAACTCATTAACGTTGTCAGGGTGAACACCGCTCTTTCTGAAATGATGAATTCCTTTATGTAAAAATAACAGGACATATTCATCTGGTAAGCAGAGATTCAATTTTAAATTAAAATAATTCTGAAGCTCCTTATTCTCATTTAACCTTTTTTATATAACTAGAGTGAATCACCAGGAAAAACAATATTCTTATAATAATAAGAGACCTTTAATCATTATATATTTTTTGTGAAATACATTTAAGAAATAGTTTGATACAAAAGTATTGGAACAAATGCCAAAAATAGTTTCATAAACATTATCAAAGACACTAATGATTGCTACATTTGAAGATACCTTAATGATTTTCTGATGACTGGACAGACACGAAACAGACATGGACACCTACCCACCAACACAGACATGTAAACATACTTAAACATTCACTTACGTTCTTCTCCACTAGTATTAACTTGAACAAACACTTTCAATTTTTTGTCCAAGCCACGTTTCTGGACAGCATTATTAAGCGTTGTTGCTAACTTGGCTGTGTCAACCGTCTCAACACAGTCTAAATTTGGAATTCCAATAACCTGTGAAGAATTATTTTATAATTAAGAAGGAAGGATGTTAATATTATTCACTGATACATGATGAGTATGTGAAAAAAAACATATTCCTTAACAAAATAGTTACCATGAGCACTATCACTTTGATAACATCTTCTACAATGGTTTCCCACATACCTTGTTCACTTTATTGCTCTGCAGGTGTCCGATCATGTGCCATTTAATCTCGGGACATTTTTCTATTATCTGTGAATATTTTAGATTTGTTGCTTAAAAACTCATTATCAAGGTTTTATAAACTTTTGTAATTAAGCACATTTAAAATTTTCAGTTGAATAAATTTCCAATCAAATGAAAAATCAACCAGCTGTTAAATATCAGTTTTATGAAAACTAAAAGGAAATATCTGATACCATGCAAAGATACCCTTTTTACAGTTAATAGATAATCTGGTAATAAAAAACTGCATTATTAGTGAAGCAAACTATAAAAATCCGAAAACAACATATATACGTAAAAGCCTCTTACCTCTTCATCATGGCCTTTCTCCACCAACTCTTGGACGTAATTCTCTCCGAAGTGTCTCTGTCCTGCTGAATACGCTTCTATAATCATGTCCTTCGGTTTAGTCTTACTGACTGCCACTAGCCTTGGTTGTCTGCACAAGGCTGCAATTTCCTGTCAAAATAAAAATGCATATAATCATGTGACAAAAGATTTAAACACAGAAAAGGCTAAGAAAATACTCTCATAAATAAAAAGTTTCAAATATTTTGCAATGAAATCTAAGAAATATGTGATGTTAAAGCATGTTTGATAAAGATAACCTCATACATGATGAATGACCATTTGAAATTGAGGAAAAAATTTACTGATGAATATAAGTAACATTACATACAGAAACAAATCTTATCAATGAAGTCTTAAATAAATATATAAGTTATCAAACAATGGTAGAAAACAAACAATGCACAACAAGGAGAAAATACTTGAGTACCCACCACAATACACTTTACAGACAATGCATTTTTTGTCATTCAAACTGTGTGTAAGGTATATGAATGTAATATTCTTTCATAAAATTGATGGTGTAATATTATACTTCATGCCAAAAGTCAAGACCCTGAGGAATATTACATTTCAAACAATAGTAACAGATGACTGGTCTTATTCAAAGACAGGGTAAATGTTAGCTAGATGTTTATGTCTGCCACTCGCCTCTGCAACTTGAGTGCCCTGGCAAAGACCAATAAACATTCACCATGTGTATTCTAGTAAGACTATAGTACATCTTCGGCCCTCTTGATATACTGTAAGATACAGAAGAAATACAGGTACTTTCTTGACAAAGGTTTGTTGTCCTTTATCACTAAACCAATACTAGGGTCCACTTTTGAATCTCGGCTTTCAAATCAAAGAACACAGCAAGATATCCCTCGACCTGGATAGAACAAAACTAACATAACTACAATAAAAAATGTTCTGAAAGACTGCATGGGTATCTTATATACCTACCAGTTACCTTATGATCAGAGAAGCAGTGATAGAACGCAGAGGAATAAAAATCACTAATCTAGACATTTGAAACTTGGAGAGAAGGGGAAAACAGAGGAGAGAGAAGTGAGATGTGAGAAGTGAGAGATTATTCTCTCTCACATACCTCATAACTTTGTCAATATCAAGCAAGTTGTGGAGCTAAAATCATAGAAGAAAAGTTTCCTATTTTCATTCATTCTGTTCAATAAATGGAAAATTTTCCTTCTAACTGAAGGCTGTGAGGAACTAAAACCTAAATGAATATCTCGTTTCAGGTCAACTCGTTACCAGGTCGACTTGTACCTTGTCGACTCATAACCTGGTGTGGGTTTATGTTTGTTGTTGTGTTAGGTTAGGTTAGGTTAATGGTTGGGCTTCGGTTAGGTTAGGCTAAGTTAGGTTAAGGTTAGGTTTAGATTAAGTTTAGATTAGGTTTATGTTAGGTTTTGGTTAGGTTAAAAGTTAGGTTAGGTTAGCTTTAGGTTTGGTTAGGTTTGTTTGGTTTATGTTATGTTATGTTTATGTATATGTAAGGTTTATGTTAGGTTATGATTAGACTAGGGTATACGAGTCGACTAGTAACCTGAATATATACACATCCTTTCCTTATCCTCTAAACCAATAGTTTTGGTTTACTCGAACTCTCTTCGTCCAGCTTCCGTCATTTTCATTCATTCCAAGCTGGATCAAAGCACTGCCAAGACTCACAGAAGAAAATTACCGAAAAACTGAGACCGAAACCTTCCCGGCAGTGATTAGATAACACCAGCAACGCAATATTAGATCCTTGGCACAGCCTCTAGGACCCTTTTTCCTCCCCGTCACACCGAAATCCCAACATATATCTATAAAATACTAATCAACAGAACTATTTACACTGACTTACAGGACTTCTCGCCTTGGTTGCGACATTTACTCGCTCAATGACACTAAGAAGTGCCTTGGCGACCTCGGTGTCTGCCATCATCCGGAGCATTTGTTTACGTTCTTGTAAGTTGCAGACGAGGGTATCCATGGCCATCCGGGCGTGACGTCACAGCGGTATGAATGCGTACCATCTGATGGCTTTTGGCGTTTAGGTTATACCGTTTTTTTTAACACTTTAACAATTGTTATCCGGGGAATAATGTGTCAATTATTGTTTTCTGATATATTCATCGTCGAACATGTTTATTTTCTTGTGGTTGTCTTTTTGTGACATTTCTCGGGATAATATATATATATATATATATATATATATATATATATATATATATATATATATATGCATATATATATATGCATATATATATATGCATATATATATGCATATATATATATATATATATATATATATATATATATATATATATATATATATATATATATATATTGTGCGTGTGTGTGCGTGCGTGTGTGTGTGTGTGTGTGTGTGTGTGTTGTGTGTGTGTGTGTGGTGTGTGTGTGTGTGTGTGTGTGTGTGTGTGTGTGTGTGTGTGTGTGTGTGTTGTGCGTGTGTGTGTGTGTGGAGGGAAGGAGGGAGGAAGGAGGGAGGGAAGGAGGAGGGAGGAAGGGAGGAAGGGAGGAAGGGAGGGAGGAAGGGAGAGAGGAAGGGAGGAGGGAGGGAGGGAGGGAGGGAGGGAGGGAGGAGGGAGGGAGGGAGGAGGAGAGGATAGAGAGAGAGAGAAGGAGAGAGAGAGAGAGAGAGAGAGAGAGAGAGAGAGAGAGAGAGAGCGAGAGCGAGAGCGAGAGCGAGCGAGAGCGAGAGAGAGCAGAGCGAGGGAGAGAGTGAGAGAGAGACAGATTTTACATTAAGATTAAGATTTAGTTTTAATTCGATTTGTTACAATGGATACGCTTTGCTTTGACATGCTGTCTGTTTTATTTTGCTTCTAAATCTCCCTGCAAAATGTGCTGAACCTCTTCTACATTACTACAGTTGGGGCAGAGTAATATACTTGAAACGGCTTACTCTTTATTGGTAAGAGTTGCACGAGTAGAAATGAACTGGCCAGTGCTAGATGGACCCGTAGATCCGTAGAGAGGGCAGCCGCGGGGACCGGAAGTCAGGCGACTGACTCTGTGTGTTCTGCGTGTGAGATAAAATAAGGATAAGTCCGATATGCGAAAGTGAGCCTCGCAAGGGCTATGAGGGAGCCCGGCCTGTGCCGACTAACAGCAGTAACCTCCGACCCTTGGATGAGAGGCATGTTACCACTGTACTTGTCTGGGGGCGCGTGTGAGATCAACCTGGGTCGCCTTTACATTGACCAAGCAGCTCTTGATCTATACACGGTGGCGTCCATGTGGGGGAGTGCATAT